CCCTCCCACCCCATGCATCCAGATTAGGGCTTGGCTACTCCCTTCAGCCCCCTCACATGTCCAGGTCAGGGCTACTGTGCCCCCATGCACATCCAGATTGGGGCTCCTTTGCCATGGCCTGCTCCTGCCCCACTCATTTGGATCAGGACCAGGCTGTTCCCTCCTGAATGCCTAGATCGGGGCTCTTCTGCCCCACCCTGCCCTGCCTCACCCTGCTCCACCATGTTTGGATCAGGGCTGCTTTGCCCTCTTCCCCTTCTTCCCCCCCCCCGACACACATCCAGGTTGGGGTCACTCTGTCCCACTTGCACACCAAGTGGACAGATTAGGGTTGGGATGTGTTGATCTCTCTCAGATGGATTGGGCCCATTGGCTGGATCCAGCCCGTGAAGGGACTTGGCACCACCCATCTGACCCGTGTGGTAAAAAGGTTGGGCACCGCTGCTCTAGAGATCTCTGGTTCACTACTAGCCCTGTATAGCATCCACTTCTGCTACTGTCAGATACAGGATACTAGGATAGATGGATCATTGGTCTGACCAAGTATGACGCTTATGATCTTAAGCATTGTGTCTGTATGTATATTTGTGCATATTCTTGACAATTTGTGATTAGTTTTAGGGGGGGAATTTATGTATTAAAAAGTATTTTTATTAAAATTATGATGGTTATCACAATTGTAGAGGTGATTGTCCTATTACTATCCTATATTATTATATTATACTATATACATATTATATTATATACATAATCATATTATTTAAACAGTTTTTAATTTTAATTATTTTAACACATGACTGACAGATACAGGAATACAAAATTCTAATATACACTTGAATTGGAAATAAATGTGTTTTTTTTTTTTAAATCTTAGAATAGTATTGTATGGTATACAGTTAGGGCCGTCCCTAGAGGGAGGTGCTTTGGAGGGCCTACGGAGCTGGGCAGAGTGGCCATGGTGAGTCCTCACTGCTGCCAGCTTCACAGCTGGTGGGGTGCTCAGCAGTCCCCTCCCCCACCTCTGAATCTGCCACCGGGTTCCTCGCATCCAGGAATGGGGCCCTGCACAGGCTGATTTGCCCTGGGCCCCACACCCTGCTCAGGTCTTCTCTGTATGCAGTGATAATTTCCTGTGTCTGTGATATGTTTTATACCTCTCTGTAGTTACTGTAGGATGTTTTCTGCTGTTGTTTAATTTTAAAATTACAAAGATGTGTTCTTTTTGCTACAATGCGTCAGAGAAAAAGTAACATGTAGAAATACTTTTGAATTTTACTTGAGAGGTTAAAGAAGTGTTAACATCTAATATACCTTTTATATTAAACCAACAATTTCTGCCATTTGGTAGTGGATATATTTTTAAGAGTATAACAAGTAAAAGACTGATTTGAAGAAGTGTGAAATTTCATAACTGTCAGGAATATGTAGACACATTGTTGGTGTACTTGTACAATGCATTCAAAACATGAGGCATAAACCATGTAACCCTCAATCATATTAGCATGGCATGATTTGGTTGAAGGTCTGAATAAGCTGGTAATAGTCTGTTATGGTTACTTAATCATTGTGAATGCAGGTGTACAAATTTAATAGATCTGGTTAATTATTTTAATAGTGTTTGAAACCAAAATAATTAGTTTTAATTTGTCAATAACTGGATATGATTCAGTGTAAAAGCATGTTTAGGTTGAAAGTGAACAATAATCTGAAAGTGTATATGGTTTGTTTTTAACGAGTGCCTGATCTACACTAAAAGTGTGCTCTTTGAGCAGTTGCAATCCTGCCCTTGGAATACAGAGTTCACACTAATACTGATGATGTCCTTTTATTTTAGGGGTACCAAGAGTTGCACAGTGCAAGTTTAGACTGCCCCTGCGGTTAATTTGCTTTCCAGCTCAACCTTCAAAAACAGCAAACCACAAGCTAACTATTGATACCAACAAACCTCCTGTCAGTCTTGTCAGCCTTTTTCCAGGTAGGACTTTAAACGATGTCCCTGTAACCCAAGATATGATAGGAATTTAGATTGGAATCTTTCATCCTTGAGTAATGATAGGGTAATTAAAAAGTAATTGCCAAATTAGAAACACCAGTTGACTATTTTGGTTAGTTTCAGTGTTCAAAGATGTAATTTATATTATCTGAATAACAACCTAGGGCTTTTGAGTTTTGTAAAAGTATTATAAAGCTTGCTTTGCTTTAAAGAATATCAAATGTTTCAAAACAACCTATTATTCTTTTCTTTCAAAATTTATTCTGAATAAATGAAAACATAGAAATAAATGGAATAAAATCTAATACTACTTTACCAAAAGTAGAATGTGCCAAGCTAATCTGATATTTTGGTTTGATAAGTTTTTGTTTCTTTGTGTTTTAAGTTGAGGAAAATGCAGTTGATATGTTGTTTTTAAGTTCCAGTAAACATTTGATACAGTCCCACATGGGAAATCCATTAGTCAAGAAAAATATGGGTATTAATACAAACATTATAATGGCGAGGAACTGACTGAAAGGGAAATGACAACCAGTTGTAGTGCAGGAGCATCTGCTGGCTAGAAGGGAGAATTTCTTAAGGATCAGAGTTGGGACTGATCTTTAATATTTTCATTATTGACCTTGGAATAAAAAAAGAAGAGAGAGAGAATTAAATTTGCTAATGAATCAAATTTTGGAGGCATCATTAATACAAAGGGAAGTTGGAAGTATCATACAGGAGGAACAGGATGATCTAGAAGACTGTAGTAATAGAAATGGGATGATATTTAATCATACAAAGGGTAAGTCCTGCAATTTATGTTGTAACTTGCAACTTATCAATTGGAAAAATAGAGGAGTATAAAGACCTGGGTGCATTCATTAATCAAAGAATAGCTAACCAGTGTGGTGAGAACCTTAGCACATCCTAAGTATGAGTTGAGATATTTCCTGTAGATACAGAGAAGTATTAATGCCACGATGCTAGGTCCCTTCAGAATATTGTTCACAGTTCTGTTTGGCCTGTTGAAGAAAGATTAATTCAAAGTGGAACAGTTGCAGGGGAGGGCTACATGAGTGTCACTGGGGGACTAGAGAAGAGACTATCATACAAGAATGGACTTGGATTATTTAGTGTAGTAAAGTTAAATGTGTAAGGAGTCACCATTGAACCAAGAAAGTACATCGTTGAAGTAAACACCAGGGAAGAAGATCTGGTTAACTAAGACCATGCGCACACATTTTTTTTTCCTACGACAGTTGCTGTTCTCCCAGAAGAAACCACAAGTGTACAGATGTTCAGGGTTTTTGTTTCGGAAAAAAATTCCATTCCAGGAAAAAAATAATCCAGGAACAACCACGGCTAAATCATTCTCAGGACACTTTCTTCTGGGAAAGCAAAATGCTTGTACTCATTCTCTTTTGAAAGAAGCCACAGCACAATTCTCTAGCATTCCAGGGTGCTTTGCTCCTACCCCCAGCAATGCAGTGCATCACTTGATGAACTCTAGGGCTCCAGCCAAACAGGGGAGCAGTACATACCCTTTTCACAATCCAAACATTGTGCTGCAGGGAGACATAAGTTGACCCTGAATAGCCTGGGTCATCCAATCAAGGCTTCCCTGTGCACTGCTGCTGTCTGTCTCCAGGCAGACTGATGAAGCCTGTAAAGCATGTGGAAATGTGTGTATAGGGGGAGCCTGGCTATGCAGTGTCAACACTGCAGGTTTTCTGCTCTTTAGGGGCTCAGCATTCAAATGTCTCTTCAGGCATCTGCAGGGTAATTATTTTTTTTACTGGGAAAATACACTTAAGAGAATTCTCCTACAGGATTTGAACACATGTGCACAGCCCTAAAGAAAACTGTTGCCCCAAAAACAAATTAGCTAGGAATGTAAGATGGAACTTACCCGCTTCTAAACGTCAGAGAAGTCAAGTTCTAGAACAGTCTTTCAATAAGAGTACTGGGGCAAAAAAATCAAACTAGTTCTGGTAGGGGGAGCTTGACCATTTTGTGAAAGAGATTATACTATATGATTGTCTGAGACACCAGGTGATTGGAGCTGACCCAAGAAATTTCTTCCAAGCCAATCTTTCATTGTGGTTGTAGGACTGTGTCACTTCAAGGGCAAACATATGTATTTTCCCTTTTACTTACTTGCATGCCAGATAGTATCCTGTGTTTTCTTTTTCAAATATTGTTTATGATTTGGGTACATAATCGTATACATACCTGCCTTTCTGTGGTATTCTCTCATGTATTTAGAATTTGCTATGTGTGTTTATAGGTTTAAGTTTCGTTCAAAACATTTTTTGACTTGACCGTGTTATGAACTTTGATCTAGAGGTACTCTAAACATAATTGATCTCATTTTTTGATTTTGAGATTCATTTAGTTTGTCATTTTGGTTAATGAAATAAGACTATTATAAAACACTGTTCAAAAGGTGAAATATTCATACAACACAATTTACAATTTGTTCAAGGTCCTTAAAATATTTTTGGCTGTTCCAGAATAAAATATACAATTAAAATGGTGTGTTAAAGCATTCAGATCACAGTGCCCATGGAGGTGCATTTAGAGGCCACAGCCAAACGTGCCAACAGTGTTTGTAGACCGCAGCACTTTTATAGTGCTTCAAAATATAGCACTATGAGGCTCAGATGCACTGAGCGCCCTCCAGCTGAACTGCTACAAAGTTTCTGCGAAAGCATTTGGTGGCATGCCCCCCAGCCAAGAGCACAATAAAGGGTCACTCAGCCCTGTGGCTCTGCTTTCTCCTGCCTCCTTGACACTGGGGCTAGGGACAGACATTCAAAAAGCCTGAGCCTGAATTGATTCAATCGTTGCAGGTTAGTCTAACCTGCAAAGCTTGAACTGATTTGGATGTGGATAGGCTTTCTCTTTTCATTCCAGAAATGCAGGCTGCAGTGGCTCAGGCTAGAAGCCGGGGGGTGCTAGAGCAGCCCTTCCTCCCCTTCCGTAGTGCTGAGCTGGGGGGAGGGTGTCCAGGCCCTGGCAGGACGCTCTGATTAGCGGGGGGTGGTTAAACCCCCACCCTGCCCTGCACTGTCTCAGGCTGCTCAAGGGGCAGGAGTGTGGCTAGACCCATCCCCAGTCTAGCACTGTGAGGCAAAGTGGGGATGTGTTGGTGATAATTAGCTTTTCAATCTCCATCTCTCTGTCTGCAAACCTGACAGGACTGCAAACCGGCAGGAGGGCTGATAAAACTACAATGTTTATCAGCCCATCAGCAAAACAAAAGTTTCTTTCATTAGTTCAAGCTCTTCTTCAACCGCTTTTTCCAAGGAGGGACGTTACCAGCTGACCTGCTGATTAGCTCCAAAAAGCCCTAAATGGACACTGTTTTGTCTGCCTTTGTCCTGTTCCAGTGAAATTGGACATGGAACCACACACACACACTGGTTTATGTGCACTGAACTTATGTTCTGTTACGGGTTTAAACCAATTTCTGATTGCTTAAACCAGTTTGTGTAACGTCTGTCCCAAGCCTGGGTGAGGGCAGCTTGTCAGTGTACCAAGTCACTGACAGCTTACGTGTGGGTGACTGGGCAGCTTGTCGGTGATCAGCAAGTAGTGTGGGTCCCTGCAGCCTGCTTGCACTACCTCGTGGCAGGAAAGGGGCACTGGATTGTCCACTCTGCTCTCTCTTCTTCCCCCTTCGGAGCAAAGCACTTCGGAATACTCTATGGGACTGAGAAAACAAAACCTAGTGCTACAGTAAAGGTCCTCTACAGGGAATGTGCACATCCATTTTATGTGGTACTACTACAAAAGTAATTCCTCCTTTTTTATCAATAGAACAAGGAGAACAAGGACTGATGTTTGGTGGGTTGTTTTGTTAAATTTTGACTATTCAACAATATTTACTTTGCTAAATGTTATCTCCTTCCTCCTGGCTTTTTGGGGTGTTGATGGTGGAATTAAGTATACTTGTGCTGCCCTTAGAATCATCTAGTGTCTGTTACAGTACACTGTGCACAGTATAAAATGTAATATTCCTGGGCTTATCTTGTAACTAAGGTTAGGCATTTCTCACTAGCCATACACGACAGGACTCTTAAAGTCTTGAAGTTTGAATGATTTATTATAGTTTTCAGGCAATTTGAATAGACTCTATAAATAGATGGCACTGCATAGTCGCATCCTTCTGTGGCAGGAATTGGGCAGAGCAGTTTCTTTTGGGACTGCATAATATGTACGTTGTACTGTTTTCATGGAAGATGCAGCTTGAACCCCAAAATGCATTAGTTTTGTTCACTTAGTACATTGTAGTCGGAGAATGGCCATGGCTCTGCTTCCTCTGTACCTCTTTCTGAATAAATTTTTCAGGAAGGGGCATAGACCAAGTGATTTCTGCTCCTAGGGACTGCTCTGGTTCTGTGCCTTTATGTAAAGGTTTTGTGCAGATTCATCTCCAGTGGCATTTATGCAAGGGCAATTTAGCCCTTAATGTGGATTGAAAATTTGCTGCAAACATTGTGTAACAGTTTAATTTAACGTTTTATTTCTTCTCACAGATTTTTCTGATCAGTCTGATGAAGATCAGGTAAATAGTTTAGGATTCCAGTTCTTAGCTGGTTCTAGAATCACTCTTCTTGCTTCAAAAACATCACGTAAGTAATATCAGGATTAATTTAAAATTCATCAAGGTTTACATTTCATATTAGAAACTACACTGATTAAGTCACTGAATTTGTCTTTTGCCAATATGTTGTCTTCAGATGTGGAAATCTGGTTAAAAAATATTTATTGATGCAAGAACAAGATTTTTGGCTTGAGTGGAATCAACCATTTGTCATGCTGTCAAAAAACAGGCAGTAGGCTTGACAAAATATTGCAGATTTTGATTTTCTTTATGGTTTCACTGAGGATGTTATTGGCTAACATGTTTTCAGTGGTTTGACTCTGAGATTTTGCCCACTATACAAAGTCATTTGTCAGGTGATGCTCTGATTATTGATTTTTTTACCAAGTGATAAGAATTGATTTTATTTTTGGAACAAATCCTTCTGTTGCTGAAATACCTGTGTTTCTGATAATTGCCACGAGGTCACTTTCTCAACTTCTTATTTACAATTTTGCTTATACTTTTCAACACATTTTAGGCAATCCTTCAGGTGGGTGGCATGAAAATGAACTACTTCCAACCAAACTTCCATCTTGAGGTCACTGGTGAAGGAGAAACAGTTAGTCTCTCTTACAACAATAACAAGTCTCTGCACATCTAAAGCATCCACTCTTTTTCACAAATTTGTTCCATAATTAAGTTGAATAAATTCTAAATTCAGGGCATGCGACTTTGTCAGCAAAACTTTGAGGCTTCGGCCCTTGGCATACCTTCACTTAATGGTGCAATGGGATCTGTTTCCTGATCCCAAGAATCATGCCTCTTGCCATGCTGTGTATGGATGGTGTGATGCACCAATTTTGGATATACAACCAGATTCAAATTTTGCCATTACTACTTGTTCATGGAGGGGGAACCTGAGATCATAACTCCAAGCTTCCCTGCATTAGCAAGTAGAAAATCACATGCCAGGTGAACCGATGTGGTTCTGGGGCTGGGACCATCTGTCAGCTGGTTCCAGTCCTGGGACTGCCACTGGAGCACAATGGGGAGCCTTCCACATGTTCAGTTTAACCTAATGGAAATCAGCCACATGATTATTACAGACATATAATGGAATACTGTGTTTAGTGAAATCCAAGATGAATCTCCCCACACACACACAAGGCCAGGGAGGGGGGGGAACCCCTTGTCTTGCATTCGAGTACAAGGTGGTGGAGGTGGGGGGAGCAGCAGTTTCTGCAGCCTGGCCCTGACCCTGAGTCTGGGTTAGAGCCACAGCTCCTTTCCCCTCTTCCCTGACCTCCCAAGAGCTTTGGCCTCCTCCTGCCTGCCTCTGCCTGGCTGTGTCCCCCATTGCTCCACTCTGATAGGCTCTGGCTCTGTTCTAGCCAGGGCACAGAGCTTGTGCTTGCTCTGGCTCTAGCCCAGTTTGATAGCAGCAGCAGCAGTGGCAAGGCATCTCTGGCCCTAGCTCCATGGGTCATCTGGAGCTGCCACTGCTGTTGGGCAGTGCTGCAGCCACAGCAAGCACTTGCTGCATGCCCCAGGCTAGAGCAGGGTCAGGGCCTGCTAGAGTGGAACAAGGGTAAGCAGTGGGGAAAAGGGAGATGGAACTTGCCAGGAGGGAGAGTGGGGCCTAAGGCAGCAATGTTGGGGTGGGGCTGGCAAGGAGAACAGGAATGGAAAGGGCAAGTGGTAAGGGAAGTGAGGTGGCAACGTGTAGGGGGACAAGGGGCAGGGGTCAAGCTGCTTGACTGCCCCCCACTGCCTCCCCCCTGCCACTGCTTTTATCACTGCAGTAGTTGGCATGTGGTCGGGGGTAGGGGTGGGGGAGGGGGATGAATGAAAGACAAACCTCCAAAAATTAGATTCTGTACATGGAAAAGTATAACACATTTATACATTTTTCCATCTGTAGAATCTAGTTTTTGGGAGTGTTAGGTTAAATTTGAAGTCATTGTGGATTTGAGTAAATATAGTAATTTTGTGGCCCATTTTCCACTTTATCACACTGTTAATTACATGAATGAGTAGCTGGACTAGTATTTACAACGTGATTAACTGGCTCGTCTTGTGTTAAGCATGAAGTCTACCTGGGGCCCTCATTCTTACCTTTTTGCCTTTCATGCACCATTGTCAATAACAAAAGCAGTAATTTTATTTCAGAAGGAATACCATATTTCCAACCCGCCTCTGACACACAATCTTCTCTTCTGTTTGTTGTCAAGTGTCATGTCATGACCTACAGGATGTAGAACACAGTAGTCCTCAACGTCTTTTGTCAGCAACAAGACTTAAGCCTAAGACAATCTTTCAACAGCTCTTTTATATCATTTACATGACTGTCAAAAAGCTTTGATTAGTAAATTTTGTTCAGTTGATCAGAACCAAATATGAAACCATTGGTTTTTTGTTGGTTTTATTCTTTTTTGTTTTTTGAATCCACAGGTTCAACAGCTTGGAGCTTATGTTCATAAAACTTACCCTCAAGATGTTTCTTATAGCTTGCCTTTTCATTGCAGTCCACGTGAACATTACACATTGTAGAAGACTAGCCCACCGCCACTTCTGTGTAGTAGTAACTTTTGATGCTTTATACATATGTGCATAATATTTATATGTGCCATATTTGTTATGCTTGCCGCATCTATGTTTTTACCTCATTTTTGTCTTGGCACAGCTTACCAACTTCCTTGCTCAACTACAGATATCATTGGCTGCGTTATGTTGTCATGTGTGTACTAGCTGCCTGTTGCTGAGCAAGAGTTCCATTGATTTGATTTCATGCCTGTGCATGATATGATGTACATTTTTTCTGTGAAATAAAGAACCCACCAAGTGGATGTAAAAACATCTCATTTGCAGGATTTCAAGGTGTTTATTCCAATTCATGGTTTCCATGACCACCCTGATTGCTGTGACAAAATTGTAGTGTGCCATATAAACACTCTTGATTAAGTGACAGGTAGGAAAGACAGCTTGCTGAGCTGAAATATTTTTTCCCAAGTAAAAGAATCCAAATCACTTAAAATGTATTTTTAAAGTTATATATTCTTTTTTTATACATATCAGTAATACCAGGTTAAGAGTTGTAAACTGTTAGGTAATATTTTTTTTTTAACGAGTGCTTTGATCAGGAACATCTGGATGGTACTTAGTAAAGGACTTTTTATAATATCAACAATAATTTTACATGTATCAGCTTCATATCTATATAAGGTTATGTATGTGCTATTTGTATACTATATTTTATTATTAGTTGACTTTTAATATTTAACTTGACAATGGAATTTAAACAGTTTGAATTTTCTAGGAACGAAATAATTTAAATTATTTATGAAGACTTTTCCTTATAAGTTAACATAAGAATAAATAGATTCCTATTTTATGGTATTGTTGGATGAAAAGGTTCACATGTGTGGTCAGTTCCATGTCAGTTTACGCCAGTTAAGGATCTGTCTGTTTTTAAACGTATTTTAATCTTTAATGAATTCATAATTTTCAGTCTAGTTAATTCATAATTTTCAGTCTTCCCACCCAAACCCCAATTTCTTCCTCTGCATTTTGGTTTTGTTTATTCATAGGCTAGGAATGACACTTGTGGTCTTAATATAAACTTTCCCACACAGTCTTACTCGTTTCCCAGTCTTGACTTATAAAGATCACTCTACACAGAATATGTAAAATACTTGGTCTTCCCTCTAATGTGAACGGTTATTATTTCTCTTGTCGTGGCTAGGAACCTTTCCCCTTAAAAAAAAAAAAAAAAAAGTAGAAGAATGGTGTTTGATTCCACATTGCAGTTAAGCTACTTGTTCTGAGCTTTATATCTGCATCTCAAGGGCATAAAATAACTTAGCTCTTTTTAATAAAGTTGTGTCTTTAAAAATCTCTAATTCTTTAGAAATGTGAAAAAATGACACAGGGTAAGTTCATATACTGAATACTGAAGGTTGGTATTCCATTCCCACGGCTTCTATGAATATAGATTTATCAAATACACAAAAACTTGTATTTGGTTTCATGCTATTAAAATAGTTGTGTTTGTGGGTGGCATGAAGTAAATGCAGACTGAATCTGTATGTACAATGAAGTTTCCATCATCCAGTAACATAAAACAAATGTTAGCTCTGCTTATATCGTACAATCTCCTTTGCACTGAGGCCATATAAAATTTATTTTTTAAAAATATAGATAATGATGAATACTGTATGAACTAATGATCCTCAAAAAAGTAATAGTGTCCTAGAGACCAAAGTACTGGAGGCCTTCATCCAAGGTATAAATAAATTGTGCATAATGTAAGTGCAAGCTTGCCTTATGTTCCTTTGCAGATGTGTTAATTTTGATCTCGAAGGACCAGGTGTAGGTGAAAAAGTTTTCATATTCATTTAATCTTTGTTTTCTTCCCTGAAGCGGAAAGGTGATGTCCTTAAAATGCCTGTTTTTACAATATGTTAGGTGTGACCCATTTTATCTAAGTGTTAGGGTGTTTATATATATGCTGTGGGAGTGGGGGGGTAAGGATGCTTTAATTAGAGTGGTTCTGAGAGCCACCACATGTATCAGTGTCCCCAGACTGAAAAATGGCGGTGGGGGCACTTTAACTAAGCACATTTGACAAGCTTTAGTTAAAGTGCCTCTACCACCATTTTTCAGTGCGGGGACACTGATACACATTATGCTGGAGTGCACTGGAGGATGGTAATTACCATGCTCCAGCAGACTTGACTTAATATAGGTGCCTGTACTGTAGACCTGACAACTGCCTCTGGCATTCATTTCACCATGTGTTTGCTCATCAAGTTGAACCATAAGAAGGGGCTATGTAGCCTAGTTGTGCTACACTATCCTGAGAAGGGAGTGTTTTGGGTTCCAAGTCTCTGCTTCCAGTTTTATTTCTGTTTTTTAACTTTTACAGTTCTGGAGAAATGGAGGAGATGGTCTGCCAGTGTAGCCTACTGCTTATGGCATTCCCCTGGCTATTAGAATAATGGCTTTCTGTTCCATAGTCTCCAAACCCCCTCTTGTTTTCTCTTTTCC